GAGATCTTCCTGCCTCTGCCTCCTGAGTGGTGTGATTAAAGGCATGAACCACTATGCCTGGTTCTATTAAGTGTATTTTCTAATAGGATTCTGGTTGTGGTTGGTTTGTGGCTTTCTGTCTGCCAGGGGATTCCTGCCCATCTCTTCCTGCACTTACTTAAAGTGACTCTGAAGCTCCTGACATTAAGACCTCAGAAATCATGACCTGAACACTACACCCTGCCTCATGTGACAGTTGATTGTGACAGCCTCCTAAGCCATTTCCCTATTCCTTCTTCATCTAGAAGATGGGACTACAACCCAGACCTGATAACTCAAAATTTCTTTGATACAGCTTATCATAGTTCACTGGACAAAGACCTAGACTAGCACTGTTTTGAATTTAACCTCAAATTACCTTTGCTTCTTCACCGTGTGTCACTGCAATGTGTGTACAAGAGCTTGGAATTCCCCAACCTATGTACGTGGAAGCCTCCGTATGTGGCCTTTGCTTGAACTGTCTCTGCGGGGGACACCTTTGCCATTGCTCATCCTTTGGATCAAAGGCTGTTGTAGTCTACATAAAACTTTTCTTGAACTTCCTTCTCATCTCACACAACTGATCACTTCTTTCTCTCTGCTTCTGTGACATTCTGTGTTTACTCTTTCTGAAATTGTACTTACCTCGTGTCATAAGGGCAGAGACAATGTCCTGTATATTTTCAAGATCTTTAAGCACTCAGGCTAACATTAAGAACTTGGAAAACATGACCTGAACACTACACCCTGCCTCATGTGACAGTTGATTGTGATAGCCTCCTAAGCCATGTCCCTATTCCTTCTTCATCTAGAAGATGGGACTACAACTCAGACCTGATAATTCAAAATTTCTTTAACACAGCTTATCATAGTTTACAGGGCAGAGACCTAGATTAGCACTGTATTGACTCTGACCTCAAACTACCTTTGCTTCTTCACCACATGTCACTGTAATGTGAGTACAAGAGCTTGGATTTCCCCAACCTATGGATGTTGAAGCATCTATATACAGCCTTTACTTGAACTATCTCTCTGTGGGGGACACCTTTGCCATTGCTCATCCTTTGGATGAAAGGCTGTTATAGTCTACATAAAACATTTCTTGAACTTCCTTCTCATCTCACACAATTGATCACTTCTTCCTCTCTGCTTCTGTGACACTCTGTGTATACTCTCTGATATTGCAGCTACCTCACATCATAAGTGCAGAGACAATGTCCTGTATATTTTCAAGATCTCTAATCACTCAGGTATCCATTCCATACTTTTAATAAACAAATAACTTTGGGAGGCAGAGGCAGATGGATTTCTGTGAGTTCAAGGCCATCCTGGTCTATGTTGGGAGTTCCAGGCCAGCTGGGGCCACAGGGAGACCCTGTCTCAAAAAGACCAAAACAAACAAAAACCCCAAATGAATGATGAGTGAATGAGTTCAATATGCTTATTGAAGCCAGTATGTACACAGAACCAAGGTATCAGTTGCCTTCCCTTGGCTCATTCTTAAAAGCCGGGCAGTGGAGCACTGTGGATTTTAGTTCCTATGATATCAGTCAGCCTGAGCAAGAACAGGGTGGTTCTGAGAACAATGTGCTTGGGCTGTGTCTGACATCTGGTGCTTTGTTGCTCTCCCCATAGCACTGATAACTCTGTCTAGTCCCAGGCCCTAAACTTCTGGATGATGGCCAGGATTTTACCAACCCTGCTTAGCACCCACTGTCTATGTCCTGTACTGGTCAGGTGAGTGGCCTCTGACTGGCTTTGTCTCTAACATCCTGTCCTCATCTCTTGTCCCAGATTTCCTGCATGGGCCCTGGTTGTCTTTCCCATGTCTGAGGACTTGATTGGCAGCCTGGTCTATACCTCCTTTCTCCAGCATTGGAGCACATCCCTTGCTGGGCAGCTCTTGCTGCTGAGTCCCAATCTGGTGACTAGTTCTTGCTTCCTGTTGTAAGATAATCTTGCGCTGACTTCCAAGTATGTTATGTTTGTGGATGTCTTGACATTTACCTTCAGTTACTCTCATTCCTCCTTCCAAGGTGCCTATGTTTACCTGGATGTTTTCATTTGCTGTACCCTCATTTTATATACTCAGATGTCCTTGATAGCCCATGACCATGGTGTATTCTAGCTCTGTCTCAGAGAACGATATTACTCTCTATCCAAGTAAGTCAGACAGCTCAGAATGGTCCTTGACTCCCCCCTCCTACTGAGTTCATCCCTAGCTCCCTTAGTTCTGCTTTATACAGTCGTGAATTGCACACCTTTCATCAGCTCTACACTGTCATTCAAATCCAGATACATGCTATCTTTCACCTGAGTTACCTCAATTGTGTATGTATGTATGCATTCATCCATTCATTCATTCATTCATCCTGGTGCTGGGGACCAAATGAGGGCTTTGCACACTCAGTTACATCTTTGTTTTTACTACAAAAACTCCTCTTCCCCCTCCCCCTTCTTCTTTGTCATCGTCATTGTCATCTTCTGGACACAGTTTCTCTGTGTATCCCAGGCTGGCCTTGAACTCATGGTCCTCTTCTCTCAGCTTCCTAAGTGCAAGGATTACAGACCTCTGCCCATGCCTAGCTCCTCAACTGCATAGTAACGACTAACAATTTTTTTTTTTTAAAGACAGAGTCTTACTATGTAGCCCTGGCTGAGCATTCTCCTGGACTTTACCTGGAAAGATTTTTTTTTTTTTGAGAGAGAAGGTCTCACTATGTACCCCACCCCGACTGGTCTGGAATTCACAGAGGTCCATCTGCCTTTGCCTCCTGTATTCTAGGATTAAAGGCCTGTGCTACCACACCTGGCTAGAAAGGTATTTTTAAGATATTGACTCTCTTTATGTCACATCACATTTCTGCTTAAAACTCTTCGAAGTATTGCCTTGCATTTGGGAATAAAGCTACATTAGAAGAATGTTAGAAGTGTGATCTACAGAGCCATGTGTCTCCAGTCCTGAGCTGCTTCCCACCTGGCCAGCTGTTCTCATTTTCTGACCAGTGCCCTCTTTTTTTAATGCATCCACCCAGTTTCCTTATACCCTAGGCCTTTGAACATGCCACTTCCTTTCCTGATGCCTCTGCTGTTATCTTTCACCTCACAGCTTCAGCACTTATCTTGGCTTTTAATTATATTATCATGTGATCACTCAGTAGGGTATTTCCCATACTTGACTCTGGTGAGGTCCAGGCACAGGAGTCACGTCCATTTGCCCACAATATTATTGAGCCCTGTGATTAAGGTATAGTCATGTCTCATACATATTATTAGATGGAGGGATCTGCTCCAGTGTGACCTTACATGTCCTGTCCTTCAGAAGTTAACCAGGGCTATGTACAGGCATGTCCTACATATGATGATCTATCACCAGTCTCCCTAAGGCCAAACATGGGTATACCTTATAAAGGAAAGACCATGAAACTAGGATACAAAACAATGCAGCTTCTTCCATTTTTCTCTTGAGTGTGTGTATGTGTATGTGTGGTGTGCATGTGTGTATGCATGTTTGCATGTGTGTGGGTATACATGTGTGTGGGTGTGTGGCACATGTATGTGGAACCCCATGTTGATGTTAGGAATTATCCTGTTACCCACTTCTACCTTCTTCAGTGAGGCAGGGAGGGGGTCTCAATCAAACTGAAAGGTCATTGGAGGTGGCTAATCTTGCTAGCCAGCTTGCTCTGGGGATTCTCTGTTTCACCTTCTGAGTCTGGAATTACAGGTGGGCTACCACTCAGGTTTTACATTGGTTTTGGAGATTCTAATTCTAGTTCTCTAGCTTGTACAGCCAAGTGTTCTAGTCATCTGAGCCATCTACTTAGCCAGCAACTGAAATCTTCTTAGTTCATATCTTGCATTGTTTATTGAAAGTATTTGGGTGTGCATATTTATTGCTTGGGGCCTTTTTCCTTTTTTTTTTCCTGTGGTGTTGGGAATTAAACCCATTACCTAGCATGTGCTAGGCAAATGCTCTACCATTGTATGACAGGCCCAGTCATATTCTAGGTTTACTATGTGTCCTTGAACTCAAAGCTAGTATAAGTTTATCTCTTCATGTTTTCTAGTTGGAATACTCAGTGATGAATTTGAAGTTTAGCTATGGTAGTTACCTCTTGTCTGTGTATACAATTATATCTGTTTTCTATTATTTTTGCTATTTATTACTTATCTATTTGATTCAATTTTGGTTTTGGGGGATAGAGTCTTACTATGTAGTCCAGGCTGGTCTTGGACTTGTGATTCTCCTGCCTCTGCCTCCTGAGTGCTGGTATTTAGGGCATGTGTCATCATACTTATAAAAATATATTTGCATTTATTTATTGTTTTGTTTATTTATTTATTTTTATTTACTTTTGTGTGTGTATGTGTGCATGAGTGCCACAGTGTACTTGTGGAGGTCAGGGGACAAGTTGCTGGAGTTGGTTCTTTCTTTCCACCATGTGGCAGGGTTCCAGGTATCAAACTCAGCTTATCGGGCTTGACAGCAAGCATCCTTACCTGAGCCATCTTATCCTAGCCTCTTTTAGCTATTTTTATTTTATTATTTTTATTTAAAATTTAAAAATTTATTATTATTATTATTGGTCTTTTTTGAGACAGGGTCTCCCTGTAGCTCCAGCTAGCCTGGAACTCACTATGTAGACCAGACTGGCCTCAAGCTCACAGAGATCTGCCTGCCTCTCCCTCCCAAGTACTGGGACTAAAGGCTGTGCTACCACGCCTGGCTTTTGGCTCTTTTTAAAGTGACCTGTTTATTTATTTATTTAGCTTTAAAATTGTATTGTGTTGTATTTAATTATTAAAGACAACTTAGACCTTTCTGTTACAAATGTTATATGTTTTATTTATATTGTAAGTTCACATATGATATATAACACATACACATATATGACA